TACCAGTCCTTCATCACCTTACACGAAATAGGGTGAATACATCTCATTACACTGATTGACTGGTAGTCTCAAAACCCTACTCTTATACGAATTGTGGTATCTCCACTTCTGCCTTGGGTTATTCATGTTTCCTGTATCATCATATCATACCTTTACTATTTCAATTTTACCGTATTTATTTCGATGTAGTGTTGTGTGGAGACATAAAACCTTCACATTCCAACTGTCGTTCTCACCCCCCCTCCATTCATCCTTGTGTGGGGAATGTTGCTTTATTATTAAGCAGTCATCTTTCGACGAAACCTTTGGGAATGTACCACGTCCACGGTTCAACGTTGGAAATGATGATGCATACAATGAACTCCAGACAAGGTGTGTTTCTCTCAGTCTTCCTACCAATATGACCGAGTTGCGAAAACAAGGTCCATCAACTTCTATACAACGAAAGGAGACTGCGACCACACAAAAGGCCACACCTTCTTGGTCTGCATACCTTTGAATAAAGATGAATGTTGCAAATATTCGAAGCTCGATCTCACCAGAAAACGACGGTTGATTCGAGTTGTTCTGTAGCCATGTTTGGCTTTAATACGAAGTTCAGGTTGACGCGGTCCATGAGATATCCTCTCTCGTTTCGAGGGGAAATTGGCTGAGCCTGCGTTTACCATATGATGGACATCTTTATTCTTTTAAAAGTCTCCTGTTAACAATCACTAAGTCAAGTATACGACAGGTCTCATCAGCATCCCAGCAGGACTCGAACCCCGACAGTGCGGTGTATAATCTCCACATGGTAACCAATACCCCACCCTGCCACGAAGTAAGACTATGCGAAATTAAAGTGAAACGTCATACCCACTCATCAGATTGTGAGAAAATTCAACTGCCAGTCCATTTAACACTTTAAATGAAATCTGAGTAGCTCAAACTTATTTAAGTATGTGTTTCTCACTTGCATCGACGTCATTACTTATCCTCAGCTAAAGTTTCTTCGAGAAAAGCACTAATTATAGAATAATATATTTATCATCCTAGTCGAGTCATAGTGAGTTAACAAGATAAGCT